AACAGTTCTCACTACTTTTATGAGAGCTTTTGAGTAGGTTATAGAAGACGTAAATATTTTCAGTAGTTTATGTGAGACTTTTTCACTAGTGTTTATGCATGTTTTTCAGTATATTATATGGAAGAGTTTAATTTAATATGTGTATATGAAGTTAATCTGATTTATGTCCCTTGGGGCACCTCATAATTGGGAGTCTGCTCATAGACACGCATACGCTTAACGTATGCTCTTTCTTAAGAAATGCACCATTGTAAATCCAGATTAGTACACAATATGAGGAGTCCTGCATAATGATTTCGTTTGAAATATAGGATTCACTGGTACCTTATTTACCTGCAGACAGGATTCAACATGACTTAACAGATGATGTGATTTACACAGTTCACCTCAGAACTAAACAGTTGGAAGCCCTGCCCATCTTCCCTATCATACCTCCTCTAGTAAAAAGAGGACAGTCTAGTCTATAAAACCTTCTAATACTGGATGACTTATCTGTTTTAAGCTTAACAGATACACAACAAATATTTTGAAAATAATGTAGTATAATTTGTCTTGAAACCGGTTAGAGGAACTGAAACAATTTATGGGTAAATAATATTGCAGATGGCTTATTGAATTTTATTAATTTTGTACGGTGAAACATTGATAATAGAAAACATTGTATCGTCAACCATAATAATTTATATAGTATTGCACCATTATAGTTAGTGATTTACACACCAAACAAATAATAAAGCTTCCCAGAATAAATAGTTGCTGATTTTCTTATTCAGTGTAACAGGGCGCTTTTTTTTCCAAAAGTAAATGTCAGCAAGTAAATTAACTAATAACTGTGTATCTCTGGGAATATGTTGCATAAATGTCAAATATTTCACTAAAAAAAAAAACACTTCCTTCTTGTTGAATCCATATAAAAAAAATCAAATAAATGCTTGTTTTAAACCATTTGGAGCCCATGCAAAAGTCTTGCCTCTCTTTAAAGGTCTTTTTCAACTTAGAAAACCTATAAAAAAAAAACATTCTAACTAATTAGCTCATACTTAGAAACATTTTTTCGATTTTATTGTCTTTTGTTTTAGTTATTTTATTGAATGTGGATGGCTAAAGATATAGTCCTAATACAAAAGCACTCTGAGAATGCAGAGCTCCAGTAAGTATTGCATTCCCTCATTTTAAACTAACGATTCAACATATCTTAACAAAGAATGGTCCCAGGGATTTACACAGTGCACCTCAGATGTGAACAGTTGGAAGCCCTGCAGCCATCTTCACTATCATTCCTCATCTACTAAAAGGAAGAAAGTCTAGTCTATAAAACCTCCTAATACTGGATGACTTCTCTGTTTTAAGCTTAACAGATAAATGATGAAAAATATTTTGAAAATAATGCAGTATAATTGGTTTCGAAATAGGTAGGAGGAGCTGAAACACTACAAAATATGAAAGCTTTGATTCTTAAAATCTTTTATCTCAATTACTTTCAGCAACATTTATTTAGCCTTTCCCTCTCATTATTTCTAGGGTATGTGGGCAAACACAGACAGAAGACCAGAACTCAGGACACAGCTGGCAAAAACAACCGTCCAAAGGAATAGAAATTCCGCCCCTTATCCTTTGACAGTGGAACTGATGGTTAGGTGAAAACGTTTCCACGGAACATTTAATACCAGCTTTGTTGATAGATCAGTAAAACTGAAGGATGAGTGACAAACTCACTGTGCAAAAATAAAAAGAAATGGCAAAAATTGGGGCAGGCAACAGTTTTGATTGCACGGTAGTACAGAGAGACATTTCTTTAAACAGAAAAAGCAGCTGCAAATTATTAATTTGAAAACAACAGACAAACAAAGCAGATGAAAAATATTTTTTTTTCATTTGTCGAGAGGTTTTTTAAATTATTTCATGGCAATTTCTCTTAATATATGAAAGCCATGTTGGTTCATTATCATATGGAAATTTTAGTTTAATAACAGATTGTGGCAGTCTGGTGTGAACATGATGCATTTTGAGGGAAGGCCACATTGGGAGTCTGCTCATAGGCACGCATACACGTAATGTATGTTCTTTCTTAAGAAATGCACCATTTTAAATCCAGATTTGTACACAATATGATGACAGGAGTTCTACATAATGATTTTGTTTGAAATATAGGATTCAATGGTACCTTATTTACCTGCAGACAGGGTTCAACATGTCTTAACAGATAATGTGATTGACACAATGCACCTCAGAACTAAACAGTTGGAAGCCCTGCAGCCATCTTCACTATCATCCATCCTCTACTAAAAAGAGGAAAGTCTGGTCTATAAAACCTTCCAATACTGGATGACTTCTCTTTTTTAAGCTTAACAGATAGAAAAAAAAAACATTTTGAAAATAATGCAGTATAATTTGTCTTGAAACAGGTTAGAGAAACACTTTACGGGTAGATAATCTTGCAGACGTCTTATTGAATTTTATTAATATTGTACGGTGAAACACTGTGATATCAGCAAACATTTTATCGTCAGCCATAATAATGTATATGGTATTGCACCATTATACAGTTAGTGATTTACACACCTATCCAATAATAAAGCTTGCCAGAATAAATAGTTGCTGATTTTCTTATTCAGGGTAATTTTATTGATTAAACTGAAACAGAAAAGTTAGTAACAACTATCAAAAATCCAAATGACAAGTGTTACAGAATACAACAAATGCTACGTTTTAGAAATTGTTTATTTTTGTTTAAACCTTATAAAAATGTTTGAATGGATGTTATTCTCAAGTAACGTTGCTTGTAAAATTAAAATCCTGCCTCTTATCTGTTTACAGTGAAACTGACAATCATGGAAAACGTTTCCACTGAACATTTAATACCAGGTTTGTGGAAAATTCAGGAAACCTAAAGGATGAGTGACAAAAACATTGCGCTAAAAGGAATAAGGATTTCTTGTGATTAATATTTCTTTCAAAGCTCCAGTTGATGCAGGAGCCAGTTTGGGTCCCACCCTCACAAAATATTTATTGAAATTATGAACAACATAATTTAAGTTCCTTAAAAATGTTATTTACAAAAAACTGCGGAAATTTAATTTTTTTCCTCCTCAATATTTTCTAAAGTCTACCTCCAAAGACCTATTTATGAAATCTCTAAATAGTTTGTTCTTTTTTGCAGGTATTTTGTAAACCCTTTGTGATCCACGGAGCTTCCTAGTATTTGTTTTTATGAGCGAACATTATTTATGGACAGTTTTTATCGTATAATACTTTAAAGATATTCCGAAAATTATCATATGCTATATCAACATTTATCTTCTTGCAAAACAGACTCCCAGTTACATTTCAATAAGTCCTCTTTGAAAGATTTGAGTGATTTATCTGTTAAACTGGATTACTTTTATCCTTATCTTTTATATATAAATTTTCACTGATAACAAAGACTTGAAGATGATCAACAATATGTTGAACTTTTAATCCATTTAATGTATTGTTAGCTAAGATATTAGTAAATATATGACCTATTAATGTGGCACTGTTATATTGTGATCATTGGTGTAGTAATTGTGGGAAAAAGGCTCAAACTGAAAACATGGTATTATAGAACGCTGCAGTAGGTTTATGATTATATGAGTCAAGTAGATCAATATTAAAATACCCACAGATGAAGAAAACCTTCTAAGAAGTAACTGTGTATGTTCGCTAGAACCATTCTCTAAATATTTCCATATTGGAACCAGGAGCTCTGTATAAACAACTAACAATTACATTTTTTTGACTTTTGCATAAATATTTCAACTTTTTAACACTTAAATGCATCTTTTTTCACTCTTGTTTTCTACTATTTTATACTTTAAGTTTTGTCAACATACACAGCTACTCCTCCCCCAGTTTTCCTTTCTTAAATGATGTAACTGAACTCATAACCATCCAGCTCTAAATCAGCCCCTTTCTCATGAGTTATCCAGCTTTCACAGATGGTTATGATGCTGAATGGCTGTTTAAACTGGTTCACACAGTCTTTGATGTTGTGGAAGTTTGCATATAAACTTATGATAGAAAAGGTATTATCTACTTGAACTGTCCAGTTGAATTGATCAGTGCGTTGAAGCAGCAGTTATCAGCAATTTCATTGAAGAAGTTGTTATCTGTATCCAAATTGTCTTCCATGTCCTAACTTTTATATCCATGTAGCTGAATATTTTCAGTTCCAGGTTATCGGCACTAACAGCTGTAGCTGCTAGTGTTGTGTCCATAAGGGATGAAGAAACAGTTCCAGTAACTTGTGACTTGGTGAAAGTGAGTTGTGCGTGATATCACCTGTGCTCCAAATGTTCCTCAAAGAGTTGAGTCATATTTATCCAGCTCTGTGATGTCCCGAATGGCCAAAACCTTCGCCCCATCTGGTGTCCCATTCAGCTTGATGAAGACCTTACAGTTCATGGTCCATGTTGCCATGATCCTGGCACTGGTGGCTGGCTTGATTGCTCATTCCATTCACCTGTTTAACTCCGCCCTGTTCCTCATTACCGTTTATCTTATCCACCAGTGCCAGATTAATCAAGCTGCTGTGAGAGTAACTCTAGTCCTCAAGTAAGTCTGTCTGCTATCCTGATCCTGATTCTGAGCTGATTTCTGTTTTGGAAATTTGGGGGTTTTTGCCCTGTTTTCCTGGTTCCTGCTGGTAACCAAACCTGGACTGTTTCTCTGACCTCTGCTTGGATTCTCCAAAGGACACTGTTGCTCTCTCGGCATCAGCTAACTTCAGCTCATCTTTTTGTGCGCTGGAAGCGGCTACGGCTGTTAACTATCTCCCTATCATCTGTGATCTGACTGGACTTTCAACCAGGTCAGTAACTTTGCTCCTTGTCATTATTAGTCCTATTCCTCAGTCACTGACCTGTGTTTTCTACCTCTGCAGTGAATGCAGTTATCTGCCCTGCTGACGATCAGCTGCTCGCTGAGTTATTGATTTGAAAATAAAGCTTGTTGTAAACTGTCCTGAACTGTCTGTCTGATCATTGGGTCCAGGTTTCTGAGGTCATTACACACGTGGATTTGATCTTCTGCTGCTTCCTCAGGAACTGGGCCTTCCTTGCGATGTCAGCGTTCTTCTTGTACAGGCAACCTGCCTTGTTTCTGCAGAGCAGTTTTTTGTTTCCAGTTACTGAAGGATCCAGATAAAGATATCATGCATGATGTACATCTGTAGGTTCTTGGGCTTTAAAACACTTTCTTGTTAGAAAGTCAGCTGACCGTTTAAATTTCCATAACTAATAATGTCCTGCCCAATCCACTCCAAGACTAAGTCTTCTTTTTGTTGCTATGTTGCTCCCTTAATAGGCTTTGAAAGCTGACCTGGATTCAGAACAAAGGAGCCACCTACTTCTCAGATCAGCTGTGAATGAAAATTGTATCCCAACCAGAAGCCCTGGATGAACCAGGATGTTTGCCTCCTGCTGAAGGCCCGTAACATCCCCTTCAGGTCAGGGGATGCACAGCCAGAGCTGCACTGTAGGCATCAGAAAGGAACGTGGAGGATCACTTCTCCAACTCCGAACCCCGATGTATGTGGCAAGGTCTTCAGATTCTCACAGATTACAGGACCACCATTACCTCCCTCGCCTCCTCTGATGACTCCTTCCTCAATATCTATCTATAGATATTTATAGAGAGAGAGAGATGACTAGATAGTTATATTGCCGTAATTTTTATATAACTCCCTTCAATCTGTAGTATGCAGCAGACCACCCAGCTGCAGCAGAGGAACAAGATTTCCTTAGTTTCAGCAACCACATGGGCGTAGGTTTGCTTAGGGACCATAGGGACATGTCCCTACCAACATTTTGGACCGACCTATTTATCCCTACCAATAATTCGATTTGAATATCATGTTTATAATTTATAATTCAGCGTGGTGGAATCACAGCCAATTTTTTTACTCTTGCAGCTCCGCCACGTAGAGTGGCTGCTGCTGCCTCTCAGTCTTACTGCCCGGTGTTTTTGTGTCCTTTAAATCAATAACTGTGCTGTTTAGCTCCATACTCATTGGTTGTTCTGCCTCAAGTTCTGCCTTCTCTCTTCCTAATTGGCTGTTTTCTAGTCCGTGCATGTGTGCGAGCTTGGTGTACGAAATAATAATTTTATTTACAGTACTTACTTCAATTAATATTAGGCTACGAAACTAGTCCTAACAACAACAAAAAACTTAATTCTATCTACACTAAAATAGCGAAAGCTGCTGATTGCTGATTCTTTTAAGTATCCTCCCAAAAAATACTCACGTAAAGACACTGAAAAAATATACTTTAGTATGGAAATCAAATAAATGTACTCAGTAACTTTCCACCACTGCTGCGAGGCCTATCAAACCATCCACCAACATAAGTCAAACATATTCCAAATATTTGTGCATTATGAGTTGTGTTACTGAAGCGCTGACTATAAGCAAAGTTCAAGCCTTACAATCATCTCTCCACTTTCCTTCTGCTAAATTTTCCATTAATATTGTCGTGGCCATAAAATATTTTTTCTTAAATTAAGCAGGGCTCTGCCAACATTGTTCGTATTCACATTAATTTAAACTCCAGTCAGTCAATAAGAGAAGTAGAACTGCAAACCCAACTAATTTATAACAGATCAAAGTGCTGAAAGACATCTTATATTTTCTTACTCGTAAATTTTATTTATCCTACAGCACTCCCTGTCAGTGTTCCATATAATATATACATTAATTGAGTCAAGCATTTTCTTTTTTATGTTTAATTACATAAGGATTCCTAGATGATATAGACTCCCCCCTACACCACTGCAGGAGGGATTTTGGCCTACTCCTCCTTTTTCACCAAGCTGCTTGGAAATTTCCTTGTTGCCTTTTACAGCCTTGTGAAGGTGAACATTTAGTCTCTAGTGTCTTTGGACAGCTCTTTGGTCTTCACCATGTTAGTAGTAGGACTCTTATTGATTGAATGGGGTGGACAGGTGTCTTTATGCAGCTAACGACCTCAAACACATACATCTAATTTATAATAATAACTGGAGTGGAGATGGACATTTTGAAGGCTGACTGACAGGTCTGTGAGAGTCAGAATTCTAGCTGATAGATTGGGGTTCAAATACTTATCTGCAGCTGTATCCTACAAATAAATAGTTTTCAAAAATCATATATTGAGATTTCTGGATTTTCTTTTTTTAAATTATGTCTCTCACAGTGGAAATGCACCTATGATGAAAATTCCAAACCCCTCCAGATTTCTAAAACAGCAGGGTGTTCAAATACTTATTTTCCTTACTGTATTTTTTATTTGTAGTATATTGTTCTGAATACTGCTGTACTTTTGTTGTAGGTTTTTTGGACAATAAAGTAACTTTAAAAATCAAAGTGGGACATTCCACGAGTGTATGGAGAGAAAATCAGAAAGGAACGAGCCTTGGAAAAAATACATTTCACCTCTAGAAAGTCAGGGTTGGTCATCAACACAGATGGGAGGAGCTGAGCTGGGTTATGGATGATTGTTGGAGCAAACGACAGAGAGAGTCTAGGCATGGCATGTCCTGGAGCCATGAATCTCTGCAGATGAGCAGAAAGAGATGCAGTTGCGCAGCAAATTTTGTCTATGCAGTGATTTGTGAGGAGAAAAGAAGATGATGTCAGCATGCATAGAGCAGATGAACATAGATTGGAGAGGATGGAACGTTGGCTGTAGAAGGTACCGGATGAACAAGAGAGGGCCTGGGAGAAGGCTTATGAGCTTTCTGGGATGAGCCCAAGATGGAGCTGTGGGAAAATTCCTCTGTCTCGTAACTGAGCAAAGAAGAAAGGAAGATCGGTGCGAGCGGAGAGGCAGGTGCTTCCGATGGTGAACTGGGCAAGAGAGGCCTGGAGCCTTGGAAACAAGGAGGCAACAACCTGATTGACAACTGAAGTTCAGCTGGTATTGTAGAAGAAAAGCTGGACGATGATTGGCTTCAGAGGTGCCTAGGCCCCGACGTCAGCAGGTAAAGCTGATAACAGACTTCCACGTTGAGTTTTCCCTTCAGCTTAATAATAATTTTAGTACTTGACTATATAACAATATATATATTACTGCCTCCAGTCCCCCCTAACAGTAGTTCACAACTCATGAATCCCTTTTCAGATGTAAATGCCCCATTAGCGCTGTGGTTGGAGAACTATTCCATCCCCTTTAGTTTCGGTTTTAGCTCAAGCCTCTCTGTTGAGTGTTTTACCTGAGAGCAGGGGGGAAAAATCCTATTTCTAATTAAATATAACTAGGACTATGTCAACCAACACCGAAATGATTTCAGCTGAACCACCAGCACAGCGATCCGATGATAACTGATCTGTACGATGAAAATAGCTGCATGAGCTGGAACACTGTAGAAAGCAAGAATATTTATACAATAATGACCATCTGCCCTGTTTGGTAGGGTGCAAATATAACTCAAGTCACTTCAGGGCAGTGCTGTAGCGGAGGAGAGACAGCTTCGTCATCTGTCTGCATTAAAGTTGGCAATACTTTATATTCACAGATTCGGCTTTTACATATTAATAACTTATCAGCTGATGATTTATTCTACAAAATAGGCACCTCTCGGCAACCACAGCAAGGCAGACAGTGAGCTACAACCCTAGTTTCCTCAAAAGGAGTCTCCTATCATGCTGGGAGAATTACATTGGACCCAATGCAGAGCTTGCTGCTCCGCAAATGTTTAGGTACCACTTGCAAGTTGCAAATTAATCAGAGAGAATTATTCAAAAGCGTCACCAAGGAGAGGTGGATTATTATTAAATTCATTTCATGTTTATCTCATCTCATGTCTTTCATACCACATTTAATGGATTCGAAAATAATACTTTTTTGAGGAATTTCCCAAAGCCTAAATGACAAATATCACCACTATTTTATGATTAGAATAAGTATAAAATGAGCATTGACTACACTATGGATCATTGTAGTGCCACCAAACATGTAGGATACATAAAAACCTCATTTGGATCATACTACACTCTTAATTTGGGAAGATAGGCTAAACTGTATTTTTGGAGATTTTTCAATTGTTATTGTAAGCATTTAATAGGCAATAATTACACTATAGATCATTGTAGTGCGACCAAACTTGTTGCACATATAGATAACCTCATCTAGTTCACATAACTCTTACTTTTGGAAAATGTGCTAAACTGTATTTTTTTTAGATTTTTTCATTATTATTATAAGCAGGCCAGGTTCGCAATCTCTGCAGCAGTAACCACAGCACTGAGCGTTGTGTTCACTGCACAAAGTATACAGGTAAAAGCCAGTAAATTTGAATATTTTGAAAAACTTGATTTATTTCAGTAATTGCATTCAAAAGGTGTAACTTGTACAATATATTTATTCATTGCACACAGACTGATGCATTGAAATGTTTATTTCATTTAATTTTGATGATTTGAAGTGGCAACAAATGAAAATCCAAAATTCCGTGTGTCACAAAATTAGAATATTACTTAAGGCTAATACAAAAAAGGGATTTTTAGAAATGTTGGCCAACTGAAAAGTATGAAAATGAAAAATATGAGCATGCACAATACTCAATACTTGGTTGGAGCTCCTATTGCCTCAATTACTGCATTAATGCGGCGTGGCATGGAGTCGATGAGTTTCTGGCACTGCTCAGGTGTTCTGAGAGCCCAGGTTGCTCTGATAGTGGCCTTCAACTCTTCTGCGTTTTTGGGTCTGGCATTCTGCATCTTCCTTTTCACAATACCCCACAGATTTTCTATGGGGCTAAGGTCAGGGGAGTTGGCTGGCCAATTTAGAACAGAAATACCATGGTCCGTAAACCAGGCACGGGTAGATTTTGCGCTGTGTGCAGGCGCCAAGTCCTGTTGGAACCTGAAATCTCCATCTCCATAGAGCAGGTCAGCAGCAGGAAGCATGAAGTGCTCTAAAACTTGCTGGTAGACGGCTGCGTTGACCCTGGATCTCAGGAAACAGAGTGGACCGACACCAGCAGATGACATGGCACCCCAAACCATCACTGATGGTGGAAACTTTACACTAGACTTCAGGCAACGTGGATCCTGTGCCTCTCCTGTCTTCCTCCAGACTCTGGGACCTCGATTTCCAAAGGAAATGCAAAATTTGCTTTGGTCAGAAAACATGACTTTGGACCACTCAGCAGCAGTCCAGCTCTTTTTTTCCTCAGCCCAGGTGAGACGCGTTTCGTGCGGTTTCTTTGTCAACAGTGGCTTGACACGAGGTATGCGGCAGTTGAAACCCATGTCTTTCAAGCGTCTCTTGCTGGTGGATCTTGAAGCACTGACTCCAGCAGCTGCCCACTCCTTGTGAATCTCCCCCACATTTTTGAATGGGTTTTTTTTCACAATCTTGACTAGGGCGCGGTGATCCCTATCGCTTGTACACTTTTTCTGACCACAGTTTTTCCTTCCCTTTGCCTCTCTATTAATGTGTTTGGACACAGAGCTCTGAGAACAGCCAGCCTCTTCAGCAATAACCTTTTGTGTCTTTCCCTCCTTGTGCAATGTGTCGATGGTCGCCTTTTGGACAGCTGTCAAATCTGAAGTCTTCCCCATGTTTGTGTAGGCTTCAGAACTGGACTGAGACCATTTAAAACCCTTTGCAGGTGTTTTGAGTTAATCAGCTGATTAGTTTATGGCACCAGGTGTTTTCAAAATTTAACCCTTACACAATCATCTTATTTTGTGACACACAGAATTTTGGATTTTCATTTGTTGCCACTTCAAATCATCAAAATTAAATGAAATAAACATTTGAATGCATCAGTCTGTGTGCAATGAATAAATATAATGTACAAGTTACACCTTTTGAATGCAATTACTGAAATAAATCAAGTTTTTCAAAATATTCCAATTTACTGGCTTTTACCTGTACCTGTCACAAATGCAGGAAGGACTCACCTTGGGTTTGTGAAAACTGCTAAATGGGACAATCATAGCTTCATATGTAGTGCTTTTCCTTGGGTGAAATAAATGATACTCCAATACTGAAATCATACTGTTTGTCATTTTCTAAGCTGAAATTGTGAGGGTTTGGTTGAGGTTTGAGGACCCAAATGCAGAGGCAGGGAGGCAGTGGTGAGTTTGTTTTTTTGTTTGTTTTTTTTATGTAATGAGTGGTTCACAAACAACTGAGGCAGGAATCCAAAAATACAACATAAAAAAAGTTAAACAAACCAGAACCATGGATATATCAGGGGAAAACAAATCACGACGGGGTAAGACTAAAGTAACACAGAGTTAGACAAGGAACCAGCGCTGTGGAACTGCACAAGGAAAGTATTTATGGGAGAGTGAAATAAAGAGAGGACTAACGAGCTGATTGGGAGCAGGTGTGAAGAGAGGAGTCTAGAAAGGAGCTTGGGAAAAAAGGAGACCAACACAAGAGTGCAACAGGGGGCAACAAATAAAAACCTAAGAACTGAAATAAAAGTTTTTCTTTCACAGTGATCTTTGCAACATAAATGAGTCTGTTGAATAATTGACAATATAAATAGGCTCTGCCTTGCCTTGTTGGAAAAGCATGGCTATGACCTGTTCTCAGCTCAGGAACTAGGACCCGTATGATATCTGGTTGTTCAATAGGTTTGCCTAAATAAAAGATTTAGATATGACTTATCAATATATTCCTGCAAAAAGGTCTGATGTTGCAGAAGAATGTAATGAAAAGTGCTTGGAACATGCTCTTGTTCTGATACCAGTTTGTTTCAGCCTTTATCCAGTCTCGTGTAGAAGGGCTGGTCACATCAAAGGTTATTTGCATTACACTAATGATACTTAGCAAGGTAGAGTGAATACACAAACTTGAAGAGAGGAGGGGGGCTTGCAGGAAAACTGAAATTCTCCAGGACTTATAGCGTTAAATCAAGTTGAAAAATGACGATCTGGAGAAAATAAATATAGGGAGATAATCAATAACTTTATTCACACAAAGTACAGTCAAGATGAAATTCTGCAGAAAGATACTGACTGAGATCCAATGCAGAAATTTTCCTTACATGACATCTCTTTTACTTTATTACATTTTTAATCATTTATAGAAGTAATTCTAAGCTTTTTTACATTCATCTGCTTCATTCCTCAAGTCAAGACAGGATGTGGAAAACAGACTTCAGAGTTGTCACAAGTGAAGTGTGCTGCCCTCTAGTGGTAATACAGTGAATTGAGCTGCCATAGCGTGCAACAACATCCCAAACAAAACATACATTTAAATAATTCACTAATAGTGCATAAATGTTAGATTTTCTTCACTAATAAAAAAACTCAATTATATATTCATATAACCAGAACTTTTTTAGACCATAAAGTTGCAGCAAACAGACATAGTTTATAAAATAATAGTTGCAGAATTTTTAAGCAAATGTTTTTAAAGGTTTTGCAAATGGACTCTTTGCTGCAGAAACACTAACAGATAAAAAAAGCATCTCTACAACTCATGATAAGAAACACACACAAACCTGAAAAAACAACACAACAGCAATAACAAAAGTTATTGTTGTGTTTAAATTAAGACAAAGAACTAAATCTTTCTCCATAAGGCAGGATTAGAGTGAGGCAGGCTTAGGTCCTTTAGTGTTCCAGTTCATCCCTTCATGTTTCTCTCCTGTCAGCAGATGTTCCTCCTGCTTCCTCAACATTATGCTCAGACAGAGACAACTGTCCACCTACAGGAGACTGTTGCTTAGGTCTCCACCAGCATTTGAAATCTCAGATTAATCTCTAATATTCATCTTCAAGTTAAACAGCTTTTAGGTTTGTAACATTTTCCCATAGAGGACCAACTCAGAGCAGTTACACACATGGATGAAGGGTGTTTTAGCTTTGTTCCTCGTCTTCAGAACCTGGGTCAGGTGTTTTTTCTCCACTTTGCTTTAGTGAGGAGTTATCTGTGAAAAGATACAAAAATGATCAATAATGTAACTGAATTTATGTACTTCAGATTGCCTAACTTCCTTCTTGTCCTTTAAGAAGCAAATATAATTATAGATCAGAGTCATTTAACCTAAAAATGCTAAACCAGCTTTTAGTCCGATCATCAATACCACCAAAATGACAAAACATCTTTTTTCTCAGATCAGATCAGATCTACAGCTGAAGGCCTTAGATTCATGTCCTTCACTTTGCATCCTGTTGAAATCATGTTTTAGAATCTTAATTTGACGTCTAAGAGGAAATAACTAAGTTTCTATTTTGTAGTCAGAGTTAGCCTTCTAGCTGTTGATGAGACGTTCAAAATTAGTTTTTTCCCAGTGGAAGCCCATGGTTACTATGGAAACTGATTACAGCTGATACAACATGATTGACTAAAAAGCTGTGCATTTTCAGCCTCCAGAACAACTGATCAAGACCAGCCTGTAAAAATTGAACAGCATCTTAGAGTTATATAAATAAACAGTTAAACACCACTTCATAGGAAATCATTTTATAGAAACACTTTACATAACCTGTTAAGTCTAGTATAATTATTTGACATTATTTTTTTGTCTCTCAGTCAGATGAGCTTAAAGAGATGATTATTTAGGGAAAAAAATGCAATAAAAACGGTCAAAAAAGGACTGGGCCTCATCTTTCTAGTCTAACATAATTATCAAGAGTGTTTGTTTTGGATATAAATTGATGATCCCCAAAATAATATATACCGGATGTGGTTCTCTGGGTTTCACCTTTGCTCTGGAGAATCCTGAGGTTTAATTTAAGCTCAAACTCACTCCAATACTGCCATTCCACATAATAGGGCCATGGTGCATGTTTATGGTTTTTGTAGGTGTTAGCATAACTGCTTCTATTGAAATTAAAAGTAGTTCACATAGATTATTTGGCCTAAACTGCATGTTTTCCCCCTTTCTTTAGAACAGTTTTAATTAGAGAAATGGTTTGGTTATTCTGAACAGAGACATGCAAATTATTTTCAAAATTTTTTCCATATCACCCACCCCTACTCCGGATGACTCAAGAAAATGCAGTACAAGTGTTGGAGCAGCCTAGTCAAAGTCTTCATCTAAACCCAATTCAGATGCTGTTCTATAACCTTAAACAGGTTTTTCACTCCAACATGTCTGAATCCAGACAGCTCTGTCCTCCACAGTGATGCTAAAAACACTTCTCAGCAGGTTTTGCAGCAAAGGTGGAAAAAATGTTTTAGGTTTAGGGAGTGATTACTTTATACCATAGAGACGGATTGGTTTGAAATGGTTTATTTACTTGATTAACACAATCATCAGCTAAAAACTGTTTTGAGTTTTGACCAAACAAACCTCAGTCAAAACTGCTGAACTCACTGATAACCTGGAGTTCCTTCATTTTCAGAACTTTGTTGTTGATCTCAACTATGTAGCTGCCGCTGTCCTCTAGAGTCAGACTGTTGATGGTCAACCTTCCACTTGTTTCATCAAAGTCACAGCGACCTGGAAGCAGGATCCAGATAAAGACATCATGGATGATGTTAATCTGCAGGTTCTTGGGTTTTCTAGTCAACTTACCTTTAAAATGTTTGCAACTTTTAATATCCTCCCAAAAACCCTTTGAGGTGAGGTCCACTTTGTGCCTCCATATTAGTGTCTGGGTGGGCTCTGAAATCAGACCTGGTTTCAGAACAATGGAGCCACCAACTTTTCCATTGATCAGTTCAGCTGTGAATGAAAAACAAGAACATTTTTACTCCTTCATGTGAACTTTTTCTGTTTCTGAGCAGCTGTGATGTTTAACCATATCTATCATGTTTGATGTTCTATAGAACAGAAGGAAACAGGAAGTTTATTCACTTTCCTAACATTTAAAAGTTCTGATGAACAATAAATCTCTGCATTAAAAAACTCAAATGAAGGCGATGAAGGAGAGTTTTTAGCTTAAACTACCAAAGATCATCTGCTGATTGATGCAAAGTCTGAAATATCTGGTGTTCAGCAAATTCAATAATTTAATTCATTAAAAACAACATTTTGAACCTAAATAATCATCTTATTCAACCACCTGGAGTATATTCCAGCTGATGCATGGCTTCAAATTGGATATAAGGAGTTTTTGGGTCGACCTTGAAATTCATCAGAAACCTAATAGTTCATGTTTTCTAAGAACTTTTATGGATCTCTAAGATGTTATCATAAAATTGTTACCCTGCTTTTGTAATTTTTTAACATATATTTCAATTATTTCAAAGAAAATATTCTAAACTTTTGTAAATGATCAATCCAACATAAAACTTTCTTCAAAGTTTGTAAAATCAAAGCACTTCTTTAAATACCTTCTTATTTTGAGTCCAAATATTTCACATCTAATATGAAATGAAAATGCTGTGTTTTACTAAAACTATACTAAAATCATTTTAATGTCATTTAAAAAGTTTTCCAAAGATGAATTGTGCTCTCTACAATAAATCCATAAAAGACAACGTGCCAGACTGGAGTTGTGTCAGGCAGCCCGGGCCACAGGCGGCTACGCTCTACCTCTTCTATTCATTCGGCTAGCTAATCTAAATTCCATTTCGAGAGCGAGATCATCTGTGGTAGTAGCACTAGACATCTTCCAGGCATGTGAGTAAAACTAGCAGCAGTTCAGCGCCAGAATGAATGAATGGTAGCCGGCGCACGCGGATGACGTCATACACACTCCGCTTTGTTTTAAAAAATATAAATACAACAAATATAACCGTGGATGTCTGAGGGACAGTGATTCGCCTACATGTTATGAATGCTGGCGTACCATAAAGAATAAATTATAAACAGTTTAGTTTGTGCCTTCAACTCGTTGGCCATAAGAAGACGTTACTTGGATATAACCTAATGGAATATCTTCAGAACAGCTCCAAATGACACAAAACTAATATGGGTGAGTAGAACATGATGTAATAACCTAGAATCAAGGACCCGATGTAAAAAAAACGGCGTTCCCCTTTAAGCCCAAAGTGCCTTGGTTTCTCAGCAGGAGAACGTGGTAAAGGACACCAAGAAGTTCACCTCTGAATGATGAAAAAAAAAAAATCAGTAAAGGTATTGGAGTGGCCTAGTTAGAGTCTACACCTGTTTTTATTCAGGTTCTGTTTGTCTGATATTTTACATTTATTTGATGATCTGAAAAATATAAGTGGGATAAAAAAAAAAGTACAGAACAATAAATCTTTTATGAAGTAAAAACATGTTAACTTCACTGAATATCAGATAATCTCAACATGAAGTTGGTGTTTCTTTTGACTGAAGGTGAAAAACATAAATAAAACATACATAGATGGGATAGTTTTAATCTCACCTCTGATAAAAGGGTTATCCATTATTTCACTGGAGCAGCTGCTGACAGGGTTTACCAACTCACAGAAAAAGGAGCTTTCCTTATTCTCCTGAGAAATAAATAGAAAACAGCTCTAAACCAAACCATGAAGGTTCTACTGAGTTCTTCCAGGGTTTCTCATCCTCATACCGTTGTTATCAGCAGCTCCTTGTCGGTGGACAACTCTGTGTCACCTGTTTTCCATTTATACGTCACAGGTCCAAAGTCAGCAGTGACTTGGGCTTCACAGGTCAGACTATAGCTGGTCTTTTCCTTATTGCACTTTATGGACACTGTGGGTTTTGGGACCGGTTCTGACAGAGACAGGAACAGATTATCTCAACTTGATTCAGGTTAAAACCTAACAAACCTCAGTCAAACCTGCTGAACTCACTGATAACCTGGAGTTTCTTCTTCTCCAGAACTTTGTTGTTGATCTCAGCTATGTAGCTGCCGCTGTCCTCTAGAGTCAGACTGTTGATGGTCAAACTTCCACTTGTTTTATCAAAGTCACAGCGACCTGGAAGCAGGATCCAGATAAAGACATCATGGATGATGTTAATCTGTAGGTTCTTGAGCTTTCTAGTCAACTTACGTTTAAAATGTTTGCAACTTTTAATATCCTGCCAAGAACCCTTTGAGGTGAGGTCCACTTTGTGCCTCCATGTTACTGTCTGGATGGGCTCTGAAATCTGACCTGGTTTCAGAACAATGGAGCCACCAACTTTTCCATTGATCAGTTTAGCTGTGAATGAAAACCAAGAACATTTTTACTCCTTCATCTGAACTTTTTCTGTTTCTCAGCAGCTGTAATGTTTAACCCTTTCTATCATATCTGCTGATCTACAGAACAGAAGGAAACAGGAAGTTTATTCACTTTTCTAACATTTAAAATTTCTGATAGACAATACATTTCTGCATCAAAAAACTCAAATGAAGGCGATGGAGGAGAGTTTTTAGCTTAAACTACCAAAGATCATCTGCTGATTGATGCAAAGTCTGAAATATCTGGTGTTCAGCAAATTCAATAATTTAATTCATTAAAAACAACATTTTGAACCTAAATAATAATCTTATTCAACCATCTGGAGTATATTCCAGCTGATTCATGGCTTCAAATTGGATATAAGGAGTTTTTGGGTCGACCTTGAAATTCATCAGAAACCTAATAGTTCATGTTTTCTAAGAACTTTTATGGATCTCTAAGATGTTATCATAAAATTGTTACCCTGCTTTTGTAATTTTTTAACATATATTTCAATTATTTCAAAGAAAATGTTCTAAACTTTTGTAAATGATCAATCCAACATGAACCTTTCTTCAAAGTTTGTAAATCAAAGCACTTCTTTAAATAGCTTCTTATTTTGAGTCCAAATAATTCACATCTAATATGAAATGAAAATGCTGTGTTTTACTAAAACTATACTAAAATCATTTTAATGTCATTTAAAAAGTTTTCCAAAGATGAATTGTGCTCTCTACAATAAATCCATAAAAGACAACGTGCCAGACTGGAGTCGTAACGGGCAGCCCGGGCCAAAGGCGGCTACGCTCTACCTCTTCTATTCATTCGGCTAGCTAATCTAAATTCCATTTCGAGAGCGAGATCATCTGTGGTAGTAGCACTAGACATCTTCCAGGCATGTGAGTAAAACTAGCAGCAGTTCAGCGCCAGAATGAATGAATGGTAGCCGGCGCACGCGGATGACGTCATACACACTCCGCTTTGTTTTAAAAAATATAAATACAACAAATATAACCGTGGATGTCTGAGGGACAGTGATTCGCCTACATGTTATGAATGCTGGCGTACCATAAAGAATAAATTATAAACAGTTTAGTTTGTGCCTTCAACTCGTTGGCCATAAGAAGACGTTACTTGGATATAACCTAATGGAATATCTTCAGAACAGCTCCAAATGACACAAAACTAATATGGGTGAGTAGAACATGATGTAATAACCTAGAATCAAGGACCCGATGTAAAAAAAACGGCGTTCCCCTTTAAGCCCAAAGTGCCTTGGTTTCTCAGCAGGAGAACGTGGTAAAGGACACCAAGAAGTTCACCTCTGAATGATGAAAAAAAAAAAATCAGTAAAGGTATTGGAGTGGCCTAGTTAGAGTCTACACCTGTTTTTATTCAGGTTCTGTTTGTCTGATATTTTACATTTATTTGATGATCTGAAAAATATAAGTGGGATAAAAAAAAAAGTACAGAACAATAAATCTTTTATGAAGTAAAAACATGTTAACTTCACTGAATATCAGATAATCTCAACATGAAGTTGGTGTTTCTTTTGACTGAAGGTGAAAAACATAAATAAAACATACATAGATGGGATAGTTTTAATCTCACCTCTGATAAAAGGGTTATCCATTATTTCACTGGAGCAGCTGCTGACAGGGTTTACCAACTCACAGAAAAAGGAGCTTTCCTTATTCTCCTGAGAAATAAATAGAAAACAGCTCTAAACCAAACCATGAAGGTTCTACTGAGTTCTTCCAGGGTTTCTCATCCTCATACCGTTGTTATCAGCAGCTCCTTGTCGGTGGACAACTCTGTGTCACCTGTTTTCCATTTATACGTCACAGGTCCAAAGTCAGCAGTGACTTGGGCTTCACAGGTCAGACTATAGCTGGTCTTTTCCTTATTGCACTTTATGGACACTGTGGGTTTTGGGACCGGTTCTGACAGAGACAGGAACAGATTATCTCAACTTGATTCAGGTTAAAACCTAACAAACCTCAGTCAAACCTGCTGAACTCACTGATAACCTGGAGTTTCTTCTTCTCCAGAACTTTGTTGTTGATCTCAGCTATGTAGCTGCCGCTGTCCTCTAGAGTCAGACTGTTGATGGTCAAACTTCCACTTGTTTTATCAAAGTCACAGCGACCTGGAAGCAGGATCCAGATAAAGACATCATGGATGATGTTAATCTGTAGGTTCTTGAGCTTTCTAGTCAACTTACGTTTAAAATGTTTGCAACTTTTAATATCCTGCCAAGAACCCTTTGAGGTGAGGTCCACTTTGTGCCTCCATGTTACTGTCTGGATGGGCTCTGAAATCTGACCTGGTTTCAGAACAATGGAGCCACCAACTTTTCCATTGATCAGTTTAGCTGTGAATGAAAACCAAGAACATTTTTACTCCTTCATCTGAACTTTTTCTGTTTCTCAGCAGCTGTAATGTTTAACCCTTTCTATCATATCTGCTGATCTACAGAACAGAAGGAAACAGGAAGTTTATTCACTTTTCTAACATTTAAAATTTCTGATAGACAATACATTTCTGCATCAAAAAACTCAAATGAAGGCGATGGAGGAGAGTTTTTAGCTTAAACTACCAAAGATCATCTGCTGATTGATGCAAAGTCTGAAATATCTGGTGTTCAGCAAATTCAATAATTTAATTCATTAAAAACAACATTTTGAACCTAAATAATAATCTTATTCAACCACCTGGAGTATATTCCAGCTGATTCATGGCTTCAAATTGGATATAAGGAGTTTTTGGGTCGACCTTGAAATTCATCAGAAACCTAATAGTTCATGTTTTCTAAGAACTTTTATGGATCTCTAAGATGTTATCATAAAATTGTTACCCTGCTTTTGTAATTTTTTAACATATATTTCAATTATTTCAAAGAAAATGTTCTAAACTTTTGTAAATGATCAATCCAACATGAACCTTTCTTCAAAGTTTGTAAAATCAAAGCACTTCTTTAAATAGCTTCTTATTTTGAGTCCAAATAATTCACATCTAATATGAAATGAAAATGCTGTGTTTTACTAAAACTATACTAAAATCATTTTAATGTCATTTAAAAAGTTTTCCAAAGATGAATTGTGCTCTCTACAATAAATCCATAAAAGACAACGTGCCAGACTGGAGTCGTAACGGGCAGCCCGGGCCAAAGGCGGCTACGCTCTACCTCTTCTATTCATTCGGCTAGCTAATCTAAATTCCATTTCGAGAGCGAGATCATCTGTGGTAGTAGCACTAGACATCTTCCAGGCATGTGAGTAAAACTAGCAGCAGTTCAGCAGACAGAATGAATGAATGGTAGCCGGCGCACGCGGATGACGTCATACACACTCCGCTTTGTTTTAAAAAATATAAATACAACAAATATAACCGTGGATGTCTGAGGGACAGTGATTCGCCTACATGTTATGAATGCTGGCGTACCATAAAGAATAAATTATAAACAGTTTAGTTTGTGCCTTCAACTCGTTGGCCATAAGAAGACGTTACTTGGATATAACCTAATGGAATATCTTCAGAACAGCTCCAAATGACACAAAACTAATATGGGTGAGTAGAACATGATGTAATAACCTAGAATCAAGGACCCGATGTAAAAAAAAACGGCGTTCCCCTTTAAGCCCAAAGTGCCTTGGTTTCTCAGTAGGAGAACGTGGTAAAGGACACCAAGAAGTTCACCTCTGAATGATGAAAAAAAAAAATCAGTAAAGGTATTGGAGTGGCCTAGTTAGAGTCTACACCTGTTTTTATTCAGGTTCTGTTTGTCTGATATTTTACATTTATTTGATGATCTGAAAAATATAAGTGGGATAAAAAAAAAAGTACAGAACAATAAATCTTTTATGAAGTAAAAACATGTTAACTTCACTGAATATCAGATAATCTCAACATGAAGTTGGTGTTTCTTTTGACTGAAGGTGAAAAACATAAATAAAACATACATAGATGGGATAGTTTTAATCTCACCTCTGATAAAAGGGTTATCCATTATTTCACTGGAGCTGCTGCTGACAGGGTTTACCAACTCACAGAAAAAGGAGCTTTCCTTATTCTCCTGAGAAATAAATAGAAAACAGCTCTAAACCAAACCATGAAGGTTCTACTGAGTTCTTCCAGGGTTTCTCATCCTCATACCGTTGTTATCAGCAGCTCCTTGTCGGTGGACAACTCTGTGTCACCTGTTTTCCATTTATACGTCACAGGTCCAAAGTCAGCAGTGACTTGGGCTTCACAGGTGAGACTCCAGGCATCCTTCTCATGGTTGTACTTTATGGACACTGTGGGTTTTGGGACCGGTTCTGACAGAAACAGGAACAGATTATCTCAACTGGATTCAGGTTAAAACCTAACAAACCTCAGTCAAACCTGCTGAACTCACTGATAACCTGGAGTTCCTTCATCTCCAGAACTTTGTTGTTGATCTCAGCTATGTAGCTGCCGCTGTCCTTTAGAGTCAGACTGTTGATGGTCAAACTTCCACTTGTTTTATCAAAGTCACAGCGACCTGGAAGCAGGATCCAGATAAAGACATCATGGATGATGTTAATCTGCAGGTTCTTTGGTTTTTAAGTCTACTTACCTTTAAATGCTTTTTCACTTTGAATATCCTGCCAAGAACCCTTTGAGGTGAGGTCAACTTTGTGCCTCCATGTTACTTTCTTGATGGTCTCTGGAATCTGACCTGGTTTCAGAACAATGGAGCCACCAACTTTTCCATAGATCAGATCAGCTGTGAATGAAAAACAAGAACATTTTTACTCCTTCATGTGAACTTTTTCTGTTTCTGAGCAGCTGTAATTTTTAACCCTTTCTATCATATCTGCTGATCTATAGAACAGAAGGAAACAGGAAGTTTATTCACTTTCCTAACATTTAAAATTTCTGATAGACAATAAATCTCTGCATCAAAAAACTCAAATGAAGGCGATGGAGGAGAGATTTTTTAATCATAAACTACCAAAGATCATCTGCTGATTGATGCAAAGTCTTAAATATCTGGTGTTCAGATAATTCAATAATTTAATTAATTAAAAACAACATTTTGAACCTAAATAATCATCTTATTCAACCATCTGGAGTATATTCCAGCTGATTCACTGCTTCAAATTGGATATAAGGAGTTTTTGGGTCGACCTTCTTGAAATTCATCAGAAACCTAATAGTTCAGGTTTTCTAAGAACTTTTATGGATCTCTAAGATGTTATCATAAAATTGTTACCCTGCATTTGCAATTTTTTTTACATATATTTCAATTATTTCAAAGAAAATGTTCTAAACTTTTGTAAAACTTTTGATCAATCCAACAGAAACCTTTCTTCAAAGTTTGTAAAACCAAAGTACTTCTTTAAATACCTTCTTATTTTGAGTTTAAATATTTCACATCTAATATGAAATGAAAATGCTGTGTTTTACTAAAACTATACTAAAATCATTTTAATGTCATTTAAAAAGTTTTCCAAAGATGAATTGTGCTCTCTACAATAAATCCATAAAAGACAACGTGCCAGACTGGAGTCGTAACGGGCAGCCCGGGCCAAAGCCGGCTACGCTCTACCTCTTCTATTCATTCGGCTAGCTAATCTAAATTCCATTTCGAGAGCGAGATCATCTGTGGTAGTAGCACTAGACATCTTCCAGGCATGTGAGTAAAACTAGCAGCAGTTCAGCAGACAGAATGAATGAATGGTAGCCGGCGCACGCGGATGACGTCATACACACTCCGCTTTGTTTTAAAAAATATAAATACAACAAATATAACCGTGGATGTCTGAGGGACAGTGATTCGCCTACATGTTATGAATGCTGGCGTACCATAAAGAATAAATTATAAACAGTTTAGTTTGTGCCTTCAACTCGTTGGCCATAAGAAGACGTTACTTGGATATAACCTAATGGAATATCTTCAGAACAGCTCCAAATGACACAAAACTAATATGGGTGAGTAGAACATGATGTAATAACCTAGAATCAAGGACCCGATGTAAAAAAAAACGGCGTTCCCCTTTAAGCCCAAAGTGCCTTGGTTTCTCAGTAGGAGAACGTGGTAAAGGACACCAAGAAGTTCACCTCTGAATGATGAAAAAAAAAAATCAGTAAAGGTATTGGAGTGGCCTAGTTAGAGTCTACACCTGTTTTTATTCAGGTTCTGTTTGTCTGATATTTTACATTTATTTGATGATCTGAAAAATATAAGTGGGATAAAAAAAAAAGTACAGAACAATAAATCTTTTATGAAGTAAAAACATGTTAACTTCACTGAATATCAGATAATCTCAACATGAAGTTGGTGTTTCTTTTGACTGAAGGTGAAAAACATAAATAAAACATACATAGATGGGATAGTTTTAATCTCACCTCTGATAAAAGGGTTATCCATTATTTCACTGGAGCTGCTGCTGACAGGGTTTACCAACTCACAGAAAAAGGAGCTTTCCTTATTCTCCTGAGAAATAAATAGAAAACAGCTCTAAACCAAACCATGAAGGTTCTACTGAGTTCTTCCAGGGTTTCTCATCCTCATACCGTTGTTATCAGCAGCTCCTTGTCGGTGGACAACTCTGTGTCACCTGTTTTCCATTTATACGTCACAGGTCCAAAGTCAGCAGTGACTTGGGCTTCACAGGTGAGACTCCAGGCATCCTTCTCATGGTTGTACTTTATGGACACTGTGGGTTTTGGGACCGGTTCTGACAAAAACAGGAATAGATTATCTCAACTGGATTCAGGTTAAAACCTAACAAACCTCAGTCAAACCTGCTGAACTCACTGATAACCTGGAGTTCCTTCATCTCCAGAACTTTGTTGTTGATCTCAGGTCTGTAGCTGCCGCTGTCCTTTAGAGTCAGACGGTTGATGGTCAAACTTCCACTTGTTTTATCAAAGTCACAGCGACCTGGAAGCAGGATCCAGATAAAGACATCATGGATGATGTTAATCTGCAGGTTCTTTGGTTTTTAAGTCTACTTACCTTTAAATGCTTTTTCACTTTGAATATCCTGCCAAGAACCCTTTGAGGTGAGGTCAACTTTGTGCCTCCATGTTACTTTCTTGATGGTCTCTGGAATCTGACCTGGTTTCAGAACAATGGAGCCACCAACTTTTCCATAGATCAGATCAGCTGTGAATGAAAAACAAGAACATTTTTACTCCTTAATGTGAACTTTTTCTGTTTCTGAGCAGCTATAATTTTTAACCCTTTCTATCATATCTGCTGATCTATAGAACAGAAGGAAACAGGAAGTTTATTCACTTTCCTAACATTTAAAATTTCTGATAGACAATAAATCTCTGCATCAAAAAACTCAAATGAAGGCGATGGAGGAGAGATTTTTTAATCATAAACTACCAAAGATCATCTGCTGATTGATGCAAAGTCTTAAATATCTCGTTTTCAGCTAAATTAAATACATTTATTCAATAATTCAAAACACCATTTTGAACCTAAATAATCATCTTATTTAGCCACCTGGAGTATATTCTAGCTGATACACGGTTTCAAATAGGATATACTGTAAGGAGTTTTTGGGTTGACTTTCCTGAAATTCATCAGAAATCGAATAATTCATGTTTTCCAAGAACGTTTGTGAAATCTTTAAGATTTTCTCATAAAACTGTCCCTCTGCTTTTAACAATCTGAACATAAATTTCAACTATCTCACTTTTTTTTCAAACTCATTAGCTAAAGTCAAACCTTTATAAATATTTTTTGAAAAATTGTAAAACCAGGAACTTTTAGGCAAGCATCTTTTTTTGGGGGGTCGAAATATTTCACATCCTATGTGAATTAATACGTTTTATATTATTAAAAGTATACAAGAATAATTTTGAAAGAATTTGAAGTTTTTTTTTATTTATTTTTCTGAAAGTTGTGTTTCTTCAAAAGCTGAAGGTGGAAAAGATAAAGAATAGACGGGAATGTTTTCCTCTCACCTGTGATAAAGGGGTTTTCCACTGTTTCACTGGAGCTGCTGCTGACAGGGTTTACCAACTCACAGAAAAAGGAGCTTTCCTTATTCTCCTGAGAAATAAATAGAAAACAGCTCTAAACCAAACCATGAAGGTTCTACTGAGTTCTTCCAGGGTTTCTCATCCTCATACCGTTGTTATCAGCAGCTCCTTGTCGGTGGACAACTCTGTGTCACCTGTTTTCCATTTATACGTCACAGGTCCAAAGTCAGCAGTGACTTGGGCTTCACAGGTGAGACTCCAGGCATCCTTCTCATGGTTGTACTTTATGGACACTGTGGGTTTTGGGACCGGTTCTGACAGAAACAGGAACAGATTATCTCAACTTGATTCAGGTTAAAACCTAACAAACCTCAGTCAAACCTGCTGAACTCACTGATAACCTGGAGTTTCTTCATCTCCAAAACTTTGTTGTTGATCTCAACTATGTAGCTGCCGCTGTCCTCTAGAGTCAGACTGTTGATGGTCAAACTTCCACTTGTTTTATCAAAGTCACAGCGACCTGGAAGCAGGATCCAGATAAAGACATCATGGATGATGTTAATCTGCAGGTTCTTTGGTTTTAAAGTCAACTTACCTTTAAAAGCTTCATCACTTTGAATATCCTGCCAAGAACCCTTTGAGGTGAGGTCCATTTTGTACCTCCATTTTACTTTCTCAATAGGCTCTGAAATCTGACCTGGAATCAGAACAATGGAGCCACCAACTTTTCCATAGATCAGATCAGCTGTGAATGAAAAACAAGAAAATTTTTACTCCTTCATGTGAACTTTTTCTGTTTCTGAGCAGCTGTAATGTTTAACCCTTTCTATCATATCTGCTGATCTACAGAACAGAAGGAAACAGGAAGTTTATTCACTTTCCTAACATTTAAAAGTTCTGATGGACAATAAATCTCTGCATCAAAAAACTCAAATGAAGGCGATGGAGGAGAGTTTTTTGCTCAAACTACCAAAGATCATCTGCTGATTGATGCAAAGTTATTAAAAGAGGTGTTCAGCAAATTCAATAACTTTATTCTTTACAAAACAACATTTTGAACCTAAATAAATCTTATTCAAACACCTGGAGTATATATTCCAGCTGATCCATAGCTTCAAATAGGATATAACGGGTCTTTAGGTCGACTTTCCTACAATTCATCCAAAATCTATTAGTTCATGTTTTCCTAGAACTGTTCTGGATCTTTAAGATCTTTCCATAAAAGTGTCCCTCTGCTTTTAACACTTTTGACGTAAAGTGAAATAATTTAAAAATAACTTTTTGAACCATTGTAAAATGCTTAAACATACATACATATTTTGTCAAGGTTTCTTCAACTATGAAAGTCTTTTAGACAATCATCTTATTTTGGTTTCAAATATTTTACATCTAAAATAAAAATGCAGCATTTTATTGAAATTATACAGAAAACATTTCTTTCTCTACAGGCAGGTCGATTTAGTTAGTTTAGTTAGTTTATTTAAGATCCCCATTAGCTGTAGCAAGCTACAGCTATTCTTCCTGGGGTCCAACAAAAAAGGTGAAATAAAAAAATAAAAATGAAATAAAATTATATGGACATTAAACAACATCTCCCATAATCTATACATATACATAAATACATACAAACATACATACTCATACATACAGTGTTGGGAAAGTTCTCTTTCTACGTGAACTAGTTCAAAGTTCAGTTCACACATTTTAAAATGAACTAGTTCAGTTCATAGTTCACAATTCCAAAAAACGAACTAGTTCATAGTTCTTTTTTTTTTTTTCATATATTGCTCAATTACACCATAGCCTACTGTAGAACCACAGACAGCAATTATTTTATCAGTCGTAACACTGAAACTGTGCGTCAGATTTCATCTTCATATCCAGTTTTGAATCCTTATCCAACCAGGGTTTACATTAACATTGAGGGGACAGCATTTCCCCATTGTTGCTTTAATGCTTTGTTGCTGTCCATTCACTTCACACTAGTAGCAGCTGCAGCTTTCACCCCTACAGTATATTCTCAAAAACATCAGGAAAAATGTGCTGCTTGAATGGTCTTTTTTATGAGTAATTATTAAAAGAAAAATAGGAAAGTAGTCTTTAAGGTGCAAATGTTTTTTTTTTATTTTAATAATTTTTTCCATTTGAAATTCCATTTCAATACATACTAAAAAGGAATACTGGAATCCTGGAAAATTATACCAGGCAGGTTTAACAAACAAGTTACATGGATAGTAAAACCCTCAAGAACAGGGGTCTTCTATGTTTTCCAGACCAAGGACCCCCAAACTGATGGCGAGATGGAGCGGGGACCCCCTATTTATATATATTGTATGAAATTGTGTCCTATAGTCACTCTATTACAGATGGAGTAATGTAAAGAAATTAATTTCTCCCTGGGATTATTAAAGTTTTTCTGATTCTGATTCCTGGTTGATGGGACAGGTGTTGTGAAGGAAACGGTGCCCAGCTTGAAAGAGCTCCTGTGTGTCGCTGAATGTGAGCATTGATGACTGAAAGACATCTTCTGCCTCCATTTATCTGTTTACTACAGTGTGTTGATTTCATGTTAATGAGTATTTAAAGACATTTCAATTAGTGGGGGAAAAAAATGCAGGGGGGGAATATAAAAATATCAACTAACCATGCAGACCCTCATGCAGTACCTCCGTAGACCCTCTAGGGGTCGCGGATCCCCTGTTGAGGACCTCCGCTCAAGAAGATTTTACTAACACAAACTGAGGGACCAGGCTGAGGTAGGAATTTAAGGTTACTGAAGTGCGGATTTTTTTACTGAAAGCCGGCGGGCAAACTTGTTGCCATCATCCTCACCGACCACCTGGTCATAAACCTGTTTTAAGTCGCCTCCATGCTGCTGTGGCTTCCACGCTGCATTTTGTTTTGATGACGCACGCGGCTGTAGGCTACGACACTGGTAGCTGCTGTTGCCAGATTGGGTGTTTTTCCCGCTACATATTAAGGCCTGTTTACGGTTTGATTTAGCCGGGGTTTCGCCTGGAGGGCTTTATAGAAATCTGGCAACCTATTGAACGGAGTTGAACTGAGAGAGCGTGCCGTTCACAGACACCAGAATGAACGAGTTCACAATAACGTTCATCAGGCAGTAATGCAGTACGTTCAGTTCACGTTCGCCCAAAATATGAACGAGTTCATGAACTTTCGTTCAATGAACGCGTTCAGGCACAACACTGCATACATATATACATATACATACATACCCATATACATACACAGAAACAATCCAAACTAATCAAAACAAACTACAAAGCACAGCAAGTGAAGAAGACTGTGTACTCCCTCACAGTCCTAATTGTGTTTTATGAGACCACCTCTATATTTAATAAATGTTCTTTCAATGATCTTTTAAATTTCCTTAAATCAGTTATCAATTTAATGCAATTTGTCAGTAAATTCCATGCTTTCATACCTCTATACATAACAGTTCTTATTAAGGCATTTGACTTTGCTTTAGGCAAACTAAAGTTTCCTTCAGTTGCATGTCTAGTCATGTACTGTATTCGTGATTCTCCGAACTAAAAGTAAGGTTTGTAAATAAAATATAAGGTGTTTTTAAACAGATACATTTCTAATCATAACAGTCAATGAGTATGAAAGTCTGTCTTTAACCAACAACCAGTTTAACTTTTTATGCATTGTTATATTTGTCCTTAAATCACACTTCAGTATTATTGGGGCAGCTCTATTTTGTACATGTTGTTGTAGTTTATGTAGCATCTCTCCAGGGGCATTTGACCAAACCACTGGGCAGTAATCCAGTTGAGAAAATATCAATGATTGGATTATCATTTTAAGAATATTTGGGGACATAAAGGTTGCATGTCTTCCTATGACTGTGATTCCTCTACCCATCTTTGCAATCATGTTATTAATATGTTTTCTCCATAATAACTTGTTATCAACCGTCACTCCCAGAAGCTTGGCCTCATGTACATTCCTTATCGAGACGTTATTGATATTAATCTTCAATATATGATTACTATTTATGTTGTAATTTGACCTCACAATCATGCTGTTAGTTTTTGCTGTATTCAATACCAGCTTATTTGCTTTCACCCATTTATCCACTCCCACTAGTTCGTTTAGACTGGTTTATTTTCTTGATAAACACAATCATCAGCAGTGTTCGGCACGTTACTTTGAAAAAGTAATTAGTTATAGTTATTAGTTACTTCGCTCAAAAAGTAACTGAGTTACTCCACAGTAAAAGTAACTAGTTACTAGTGAAAGTAACTATTGTGTTACTTTTGCGTTTCTCGTCCCCGTAACCCTCACCACCTGGCCCCCACCTTCTCGCTGTTGTCATGATGGGTACTCAAAAGGAGACCCAATTATGCAGAACACCACTTTGACGGACACAGGGATGAAAGTTTAACACGTTTATTTTGCACAACACACAGAATGTACTGATGACAGGTTCGGGCCTGGGTTCTGGTTTCACCGGAGTCTGCGTGAGAGACAGAGCGGTTAAGGACTGCTGACAGGATTTGATTTCCAAGTGAGCTCTGATTGTACCTTGAGGGTTCTTGAGGTTCTCTTTAGGAGAGTCACTGTTGGTTCTGGAGAGGTGTCCTTCAGCAGAGTCCGTTTGCTGCTTCAGCGTCTCACGTCTAGCTTAAACAGACCTTAGCTTTGGTTTCCCAGCTCTGGTCCTGAGCTGCTTAGAGGTTCTCAGAGAATCTTCGGGGTTTGGCTCAGAGGGTCGGCTCGGCAGGTTAGCTCCTCCTGAGCTTTCACGGAGAAGACACGGGTTTCCTGGAAACACAGAGATAGTGGTTAGAATCCAACCTGGATTCAAAGTCATGGAGATACTCAAAGTTCTAGGCTTTAGCGCTGACCAACTGGAACAACACTGCAGCGTTGAGGCAAGGTCTGAAGACAGCTTATATAGTGGATCCTCTGATGATCTTGACGAGCTGCAGCTGTGCAGGAGGCTCCCTCAGAGGATCCACGGCGGACTCTGCTGGAGAAAGATGGGATTTCTCCAGCTCCCAACAGTACCCCCCCCCTCAACGACCGCCCCTTGGCGGTCCGGAAGAGGTTGATGGGCGGGAACGCTCGTACTCCTCGATGAGTGCCGGATCGAGGATGTACGAGCCTGGGACCCACTGGCGATCCTCCGGTCCGTAGCCCTCCCAGTCGACGAGGTACTGCCATCCGCGACCTCGTCGACGGGAGTCCACGATGCGGCGCACTGTGAAGGCCGGATGGCCATCGACCTCCAGGGCGGGTGGTGGGGAGTCGGACGGAGGGCACAGAGGGCTCGGAGAGACAGGCTTGATCTGGGACACGTGGAAAGTGGGGTGGATCCGGAGGGACTGAGGTAACTGGAGACGAACAGCTGAGGGGTTGATGACTCGAGAAATCCTAAAGGGTCCGATGAATCTCGGGGAGAGTTTTCGAGACATCCCCTTGAGGGGGATGTCCCGAGTGGAGAGCCACACCTCCTGGCCCTCTGAGTACTCGGGGGCGGGACGTCTCTTGGCGTCGGCGAAACGTTTAGCAGATGCTGTTGACTGATTGAGTGTGGCGATGGTTTCCCTCCAAATCCTCTGGCAACGGCGAATGTGATGATTGACAGACAGCACCGATATCTCTCTCTCATCTGCGGGGAAAAGAGGTGGTTGATATCCGAGACTGACCTGAAATGGGGACTGTCCAGTGGATGCAGAACGGAGAGAGTTGTGGGCGTATTCTATCCACGGG